TCCCTCCCTTGTGCTAATGTGACTAATGCTCAAGACTTACTTATGAGTGAGAACATGCAATATTCAGTTCTTTGTTTCTGTGGTAGTTTACTTAGTATGATGGTCTCCAACTCCATTCAATTTGCTGTGAAGACCATGATTTTGTTCTTCTTTATGGCTACAAAATACTCCATCATGTGCATGTATCACATTTTCTTTATCCAGTCCTCTTTCATTTGAGCTGGGACTGCCTTAGCAGTAAGGCTGGTTCCATGTTTTTACTATTGTGAGTAGTACAGCAATAAACATGCATGTGCAGATGTCTTTTTGTAGAATGATTTAGGTTCCTCTGAGTATATTCCCAGGAGAGGGTTTGCTGGATTGTATGGAAGGTCAGTTTTTAGTTCTTTTAGGAATTGCCACACTGCTTTCCATAGAGGTTGAACTAACTTGCACTGCCACCAACAGTGTAGAAGCCTTCCCTTATCTCTGCACCCATGCCAGCATCTGTTGTTTTGGCTTATTAATGATAGCCATCCTTACTGGAGTTAGGTGGTATCTCACTGTAGTTTTGATTAGCATTTCTCTGATGATCAGTAAGGTTGAGCATTTTTTTCATGTGTCTGTTGCTGCTTGTATGTCATCTTTTGAGAAGTGTCTGTTCATGTCCTTTGCTCACTTTTTAATGGAGTTTTTTTCTCCTTTCACTTCGTTTGAGTTCCTTGTAGATTCTGGATGTTAGTCCTTTGTCAGACAAATAATTTGCATTTTTTTCTCATTTTGTGGATAGTCTCTTTACTCTCTTGATGGTGTCTTTTGCTGTTCAAAAGCTTTTCAGTTTGATGAGGCCCCTCTTGTCTATCTTAGCTTTTATGGCATTCACTTTTGGGGACTTTTTAAGAATTTGTTGTCTATTCCAATGTGTACAAGTGTGTTTCCTACGTTTTCTTCTAGGATTCTTATAGTTTGAGTTTTTACATTTAGGTCTTTGATCCATTTTGAGTTGATTTTTGTGTGTGGTGATAGGTAGGGGTCCAGTTTCATCCTTCTGCATATGGTCAGCCAACTTTCCCAGAACCATTTGCTAGATATGGTCTACTTTCCCCAGTGATTGTTATTGATGGCTTTGTCAAAGATGAATTGGTTGAGTGACAGTGTTTTTGCTTCCAGAATCTCTGTCCTGTTCCATCATTCTGTTCCATTGGTCTATGTGCCTATGTGCCTATCCTTGTACCAATAACAGGCTGGTGATGGGCACCTGGATTCCCATGTCTATCATTGTTTTCTGGTCGATATGTGTTCAAGGGGACCTTTGCCAGGTGCAGGGTGCTTCATCCATCCAAAAGTATTTGGGGTATCTCTATCTCAGCAGCTTGGTTTCTACTCTGTTTTGTTTGGTGAGAGTGGTGACAGTCTGCTGCTGCACAGTGGCCATCTTGGATCTTTCTTGCTCACCAGTTTCTTATAATACACACACACACACACACACACACACACACATCCAATAGGTTCTGCTTCTTTGTAGAACCCTAATACAACTACCAAATTATCAGTCAGTTATGGGAGTTTAATGAAAACATGTTTAGACATATAAATTCCCAAAAATGTGTATACAATACACTCTTTCTCAAGAAGCTTTTCAAAAATGTGTGGCACCAAAACAAGAGATTTCAACAACAACAACAAAAGGAAGAGCCTGAAAAAAGAAATAGGTGCTTCATAAGAGAGGTATAAGGAGTCTCCCGGACAGTGAAGGAAGAGTCCAGTATAACAGCTGCATATCCCACAGAGAGACAGCCAGCCCCGAGGGAAGCCCCGTATGTGAGGGCTGTCATCCATAGGCCCCTGCCATCTACAGTAATGAACCGGAGGACAGAATGCTCCAGACAACCTGGTTCGCATTCATTCCTGTACTTGCCTTGTGCTGACCATGCATCGGTAAAATCCACTCTTCTGTCTCCAAGCCTTGTTTGCTTGGGCTAGCTGAGGGGGTTCATTCCACTCCACAGAGTATCTTGCTTTGACCTGTGCCCAAGAGTGGGAAGTGAGTCACTGTGAGAGATCAGAAGCAGAAAACATGAATTAACCTACTCTGATGATATTTCTACCAGGTCTGATACCTGGCCCCAATACAGCCTTGCTTGACTTAACCAGAAGGGGTCATCAAAGCCAAGAGCTCATATTCTCGGGTGAGTCCTCCCCCAAATAATGACAGCGTTTTCTTTTCCTTAAAAAACTAGATTTGAAATTGTGATCCCATTTTTTTCCAAGTAGAACAATACATTGTACACGGATGCATTCGTTGGTAGTAAAACTATGAAAAGAATCAAGAGAATGCATACTAGCTTTAATATTGGGACATAGTAAACTGCCACCAAATTAGCAGTTTGAACCAATACCCACTTATTATCTCACAGTCCCATAAATGAGCTGTCTGGGGGAGCGAGGCTGGGCTCTGCGAAAAAGTCTGCTTTCAGACTCATTTATATTGTTAGTAGAGTCCAATTCTGGTTTCCTTGCTGGCGTTGGCCAAGGGTCAGTCTCAGCTCCTGTGTCTTCCCATTAGTCTCTAAATTCAGAAACTACATGTGGAATCCTTCCATGCTTTGAATCTGACTTCTTCTTATAATAAACAGAGATAACTCTCAGCTTTTAAATAAATAGCTCATCTAATTAGGACAAACCTATCTGGATAATCTAATTTTAAAGCGAACTGAATTGGAACATTAACTACATTGACAACCCCCCCCCCACAAAAGTACCTAGATTAGCGTTTGATCACCACAGGGAAGAGATAGCGAGGTGATGTGGGGATTATTAAGATTCTCCCTACCATAAAATGATTTCCATGAAAGTCAAATAGTGGTCTTTTCTGGAAGAAAGAGAAGAAGAGAATATACATGAGGAGGGAAATAAGAGGGGCTGCTAAGATACTGGAACATTCTAATTTTTAACCTGGATGTGGAGGGTACATGTTGCGTATCTTATTATTTGTCCTTAAACGGTTTACATATGCTTTTTACACTCTTTTGTATGCATAAAACATTTCACAAAAAGAAAAAAATGTAATGCAAGTCATAGTGACTTAACAATATGAACGCAGCATGTATCTGATTCTAGGCTTTTTAGAGCCAATGCACAAGGCAGGTGTGTTTCATTTGTGGAAGAGGTGAGAGACATTATCTAAGTCTTTTATTTGTTCCTGACACTGGGTGGGCTCCTCTTGTACACCAAGAATATCTGTGGAATGAGAGCTCAATACATGTCACCCACCAACCCAATATAAGAATTAAATAAAAGGAAAAACTAGAATCTGGTTAAGAAACTATAGTGTATCAGAAAACAGTGGCCCAAGTTGGCAATGCTTCTGGCTGCTGCCTGGGCAGTCACAATTCTGTTTTAGATCTTAGAAGAGGAGATTACCAGTTCTCAGTGGCAAACCACTCATGATCTCACGAATACACAGATACAGGATATGACTCATGCATGCACACACATAAAACTACTCATCCATGCACAACAGGACACCGCTTCTGTAATCAACTGGTCTTTTTCAAATCCACAGCACCTATGCCTGTGAAACTCTCTGGTAGGAGTTCAGAATCCGTTTGGTGGGATACAGACAAGAGGAGATCTTCTAGGTCATTTACTTCCATCCAGCTCTGAGATCCTAAATTTGAAAATAGCCAAGGGCAATGAGCTACAAGGATATGTCCTGTGCAGTGGGCTTCACATTCTCCCAGATCTAGCATGGGCTCTGGTGAGAGTTCTCATTGACTGGGATTTCATGTTAATTTGGGCAGGGCCAAGACGATCCTTCCTCTCTCTTGCTTTCCAACAGCTCAGCAGAAGGGTTAGGAAAGAGAGGGAAGAAGAGAAGAATTTCTGGAGAGACTTCAGAATAATTGGATCTTGGGGACATAATCCCACATGTATAAAAAGTTTCTTAGCTTTGTTACTTGAACTTCTAAACTTTAAATCACTTCAGAGACTAGAAGAATCCCAATGGCAGGGTAGGGCTTAAATGACTTTGTATATGCAATGGACAATCCTTTGTGGATTTTGCCCAAAGAACAAAGACGAGAAAACATAACTTCCACCCATTTCAGGTGTTAACAATTTTGGTTGCTGCTTTCTAACCAAATTGGCTACTTTCAACTCCTGGAATATTCCCAGACCTCAGAGAAGTGATTTGAATCAACATATTTTTTTGAAAAGATAAAAGAGCACCTTTAAAATACATATAAACTCTTGAGAGTTCAGTCCCATCCCCAGATGCTGACCTGATGACTAAGTGGCATGGGAGGATTTAGAAGGAAAGAGAGGGACCCCTCAGTAGTGCAACAGTTCAAGAATGAGAAATCCATGAGATCACTTAGTTCCTAGGATGGAATATCTCTGACAATAATCTATTCAAAGTAAGCATTGGGGAAACAGAGGCCCAGAGGAAAAGGCACTTAGCAGTCCCCATGCATTGGGTGATGGGTGAATGCCAGTTCTTTTGATAAGTACTCCAGAAGAGTATAACAAATGAGTGAGTGTGGGTGAATAGCCCAGGGTCCTGTAGATCGCAAGAGTACTAGAAAAGAGGAGGAAGATAGCACCTAAAAGAACTCACAGAACAGAAGGGTCAGGAATTGAAGATGTTTTTCCACCAGTCCTAGGCCCAAAGGGGGAAAAACACACACACATTTCTTGTCAAAATTGCATAAAATGAACCATCCACACATGAAATTACTTGAAACAAATCTGTAATGCTTGTCCTGAACATGACAAGAAAAATTAAATCTAATCAGTTGACATTTCAAACCTCTCTATGGGGTGGCCAATTACCACCAAGTAGATTTTGATCAAATGTCTCACATTCTATTTAGAACAACACAGAGAACTCCTCCAACTATCAGAGCTGTTCTCCAATTGCTCAGCAAGGAGGGGCTTCCTCACTGGTGGTCTGGGTACTTTAGGCATCAGAAAATCATGGAGTTGGCCTTCTGAATTCCTGCAAGTGACATAGAGACACTATGGCCATGTCCAATGAGACCTCTCCTGTGACGGAGTTCCTTCTCCTGGGCCTCTCTGCCCATCCAAAGATGGAGAAAACGTTCTTAATGCTCATCCTGCTGATGTATCTGGTGATCCTGCTGGGCAATGGGGTCCTCATCCTGGTGACCCTACTTGACTCCTGCCTGCACACGCCCATGTACTTCTTCCTGGGGAACCTCTCCTTCCTGGACATCTGCTACACAAGCTCCTCAGTGCCCCTCATCCTTGATAGCTTCCTGACCCGCAGGAAAACCATCTCCTTCTCAGCCTGTGCAGTACAGATGTTCCTCTCCTTTGCTATGGGAGCCACGGCGTGTGTGCTCCTGAGCATGATGGCATTTGATCGCTACGTGGCCATCTGCAACCCTCTTAGGTACCCCGTGGTCATGAATAAGACTGTTTTTGTACCCATGGCTGCCGGTTCCTGGGTGGCTGGTAGTATCACCTCCATGGTACAGACATCCCTAGCAATGTGACTGCCCTTCTGTGGGGATAACATCATCAACCATTTCACCTGTGAGATCCTGGCTGTCCTGAAGTTGGCCTGTGCCAACATCTCCATCAATGTGGTCAGTATGGCCAGGGCCAATGTGCTCTTCCTGGGGGTTCCAGTTCTATTCATCTGTTTCTCCTATGTCTTCATCATTGCCACCATCCTGAGGATACCCTCGGCCGAGGGGAGGAAAAAGGCCTTCTCTACCTGCTCTGCCCACCTCACTGTCGTGGTCCTCTTCTACGGGACCATCCTCTTCATGTATGGGAAGCCCAAGTCTAAGGATGTGCTGGGTGCAGATAGGCAAGACCTTGCAGACAAGCCCATCTCTCTCTTCTATGGGGTGGTGACCCCCATGCTTAATCCCATCATCTACAGCCTGAGGAACAAGGATGTGAAGGCTGCTGTGAGGAACCTGCTACTTCAGAAACGCTTCACCCAGTGATGACAGAGGGATCCTGACAGTTCTATGCTCCCTGACTGCTCCCACCTGAGGTTCCCAGAGGATAAGATGAAGGCCCAGTTTCAACAGATTTATGTAGGTAAATCCCATTACACAGAATCTGATTACATAAAAGACTCTGTATAAACAGGAAGCATTGAATGCAGCTCCTCAAAAGTAGATTCTTGTTTGTCTAGCCTTATAATTCTCATTCTCTGTGATGGATACTGAACAAATGGATGTCAAGGATAAGTAACTCTTCAAATTTTTGTTGGTGAAGTAATGAAAAGTTCTAGTCTGTAGGTCTTCAATGCAATTGCTCCTTGGTTTCTTTCTTAGAACATATTTTAATAAATATTTACTTTTATATTACCTTTCAAATTCTTCCTACTCCGTATTAAATAAGTTTATATATTTTATTTATTAAGTAACAGTTTTATTTTTCTCCTCATCGTTCCTTTCTCCTTATTGTTATATTAATTCTCAAAACAAGTTCCTGAATTTTTCTCTTTCCACATTTCCATAAGTCCTCACTTGAAAAATCTTTCATATTCTTTGAGAAGAGAGGGGGGTGATGAAGGTGGTAAAGTTGATTCAAGGGCCAGAAACTCGGGCCTTTTTTATTTTCTCTTTTTGAAGATGTTGTTCATCCTGGGCTTTGTTCCCAGATACCAATGACATCCCATGGGTCATCAGAGTAGTATGAAAATTGAGATATGTCCAGGAGACTCATATGGCTTCTATTAACCACCGACCTGGCTTGACCAAGCATGCAGCCAAGTGGCAATAATCACTTGTTTTTCCACCTAAGAATCCCTAAAGCCATATAGGAGTCAGAAGGAGATGGAAGTTATGTCCAGCAGGGGACATCTAAGAATCACCCACACAATTGGTGAGGAATTCCAAAGCAGTTCTAAATAGTGATCAAACTAGAAATTTAGTTAAAAGAATGAGCAGAATAGAATCCTCTGACTATTGAACTTTTAATCCCATAGAAACAAACTAATAATGAAAATAAACAGTCTCTGCTGAAAAACAGATAATGCAGGAAGATGATGCTAATGTTAAAGAAAATTCTCAGTAGTCTTTTCAGTGGAAATCAAGAGGCTTTTGAGTTAATAAAACAAGAGCTGTCTATACAAAAGAGGCTAGGAGGAAAGATATCTTGTAGATAACATATTCTTGGGGGACAATTTTCATATTATTGTCAAATAAAATTCAAATAGAAATTATTTGAAGTAATTATTCTAAAAATTTTGATTAAAAACAACTTAAAGCCGGGCTCGGTGCTCAGCCTGTAATCCTGCGCCTCTGGGAGGCTGAGGTGAGTGGATTGGTTCGAGACCCGCCTGGGCAGGCAAGACCTCATCTCTACAATAAATCAAAAAATTAGCCGGGAGTGGTAGCTCGTGCCTGTAATTCCGGCTACTCGGAAGGCTGAGGCGGAAGGATCACCGGGGCCCAGGAGGTTGAGGCTGCGGTGGCCGGGAGCGACCACTGCACTCCAGTCTGAGTGACAGAATGAGACTCCAAAAACAACTTAAAGTGCTCTGCTAGACTTCAGGGGGGGAAAAAACTAAGAGATTTAAATTATTTGAGAAAAGATGAGCGGTACGGAAGAAAGACCAGGGGATTCATGGTGAAATTTATAAGGGGAAAACAGACCAGATGAGAGACAAATAACAATTAAAAAGAAAAAAAAAATCTTACTGAACAGAAGTTTTAGTTCTTTTGTTCATAAAGAATTCATCAATAGGTAAAAATTGTGGCAAAAGGCACAATTTATCTAGAGTCAAAGATAAATTTTGATTTCCATATGTAGCAGAATATTTCTGTACACAGAAGAAAACAAATTATCTAACAAGAAATGAGGATATGCCAGTCATTGGCCTCCTGCTCTGCAGCCCTACATGTAAAAGTCTACAGTAGAACACTATTTACAGTGTTCTGAGGAAAGTACGTTATGAGTTTGAATCTCTACACACAACTGACATTGAGAGATATGAAGGTTGAAAGACACTGGCTGACATGTGAAAACAAAGAAAGCACACACCTCTATAGTTTTTTCTGAAAAAGAATTTTGATTTAGGAAATTCTCCCAACAAACAGTTAAAAATAAATGATTGCAAGGATGGGATAGACATGGTATATAAGATACCTTAATGAATAATGAAGTGCATAAGACCTGTAAAGTCTAATCGATTTTTAATGCCAAATTTACAAAGATTGCATTTCCCATGAAAAGAGAAAAAAAATTATCAAACACATGACCCCAAATTTTCAGAGAACAGATCATTTTTGTGTTATCTGTGATTGTCAGCATATATAAAAATATGAAGACCTTATCAAATCATTTTATGCTTAACAGTTAACTCCTTGAGGGCAGTAACTATAACTGTCACGTGTATTTTTCTACCCTTCATATTAATTACGGTGATTGGTACATACTAAAGACTCAATAAATATTTGTTGAACAGTGAATGAGCATTCTGGAAATAAAACCTGACAAAGATCATGCAAAAAATATTTGACATAAATGAGTAATATTGTATTAAATACTAACTGATGAAAGCCAATATGTATTAAACTAATAATATGCATTACCAAGTGGCATCTTCTAGGGAATAGCAACATAGTTTAGCACTAGAAGACTTATTTATAACGTTTTTATAATGGAGAATTTTAAATCTATGCAAAAGTTGAAAGAATAGAATAATGAACTTTAGGTATCTTTAACCCAGATTCAATAATCACCTCATGGCATATCTTGATCAACCATACACCCACCTATGTCTCCCACTTCTGAATTATTCTGAAGTAAATCCCAGATTATCATAGTATTTCATTCTTTTTTTTTTTTTTTTGAGTTGGAGTCTCACTCGGTCACCCAGACTGGAGTGCAGTGGCCGCTCTCGGCCACCGCAGCCTTGCCTGCTGGGCTCTGGCGATCCTTCCACCTCACGCTTCCAAGTAGTTGGAATTACAGCATGCGCTACCATGCCCAGCTGATTTTTTGATTTATTGTAGAGATGAGGTCTCGCTGCCCAGGCGGGTCTCGAACCCGTGGGCTCAGGCAATCCACTCACTTCAGCCTCCCAAAGGTGTGGGATTACAGGCTGAGCCACCGAGCCCAGCTGTATTTCATTCTTAAATAGTTTAGTGTGTATCTATAATAAATAATACTCTTTCATTTAAACATATTTAAATTACCAATATCACAACTTTGAAAATCTTACTTATTAATATCACGAACTATTCCCTTACTGTTCACATTTACCCAAATGTCCTCTAAATGTCTTTTCGATTTGTTTATCTCAATTAAGATCTTTTAGAAAGTTCCATAGATTATAATTAATTGATAACTCTCTTTTAATCTATAGTTTCCCTATTGTCTCCTTTGTTTCCCCTGCCTCTCTCTCTCTCTCTCTCTCAGAAACCAACTTGTTTGTGTTGGAAAGTTTCCCACAGTATTCATTTTACTGATTGCTTCCCTGTGATGCATGTCTTCTGTATTTCCTGTATATCGGTAATTAGATCTAGAGACTCAAGAGTGTTTTCTTATTAGTGTAGATAAATTCCTAAGTCCTTTCTACATGACTTTGATAGTCTTGATGGATTCCTTGTTTTCTGGAATAAGAAGATAACCCAAGTTCAACTTTCATTTTTCCTGCTCCAGACTTGGAATCAGCCATTTCTCCAATGAACTGTGGTTATTTTCTTGGAAAACGATGCTTATAGAGCATAATCTGAATGCTAAAGGTACTCCTTGCAACTGGGTTTGTCATTGTTTCTAAGCCTTTTTCATGGAATGACCAGAAAATATAGTTTTGTTCTGTTTTTTTTTTTAAAGGTAAACTATATCATAAGTGCGCACTGATACTTCCATCTCAAATTCAGGAATATAGTTTCCAGGTAACCTCAATGACTTTATGTCTATAGGCCCTTCCTCATATGCCAAAAATCTTGGTACTCAGTGACACCAATGTAACTGTCCATTTGCTTTACTTTCCAAATATATACTTGTACACAATAGTCTCAGAATAACAACACCAACACAACCTTTATCAATATGAATATTTTTTAAATATTTTTAAAGATTCTGGATAATTTTTCTTCCTGCTTTTATTTTGGGTTTTTTGTTTTGTTTTGTTTTGTTATTTACCTTGTTTTCTGTTCCTTTTCTTCTTAGGCCAGCTCTTGCTAGATATGTACAAACTATTGTTTATTAAGGTTCTAACTGAAATAATTCCTTTCTTGCAGTTATACAATTTGATTTATATGTCTCATTGTTTTTGAATTTTGTTTTATTCCATCTGCTAATTATAAAAATACATGGTTGCAAAGTCAAATCTCTGAAAAGATATACTCAATTACACTCAATGAAATCTAACTTCGATTCCTATCCTCTTCATCCTGTTACCTTTCTCACTTATAGATAACCACTTTTCAAATTTAGTTGTTTATCCTTCCATTTAAAAAATGCAATATATAGATATAGTTATGGTCTCCCACATAAAAGCACACAATGCATACATTTTCCACATTGCCTTTTTCACTCAACAATGTTTCCCAGTGATCTGTTCATAGGTGTATAGTTCCCTACACTAAATCACTTTCTTTCCTCTAGGATTTTTCATTTTAGTAGATTTACTCTCTCAAATTATGTCACTAGTAAATTGTGAACATGTCCAAGATTTTATGAGGCGTAATAACAGAATAATTCACATTAGGAGTTAAGTTTGGGTGCTGATTCTGGCTCATTCTCAAATAGGTTACATGCTCCAGAGTAAGTCCCTTCCTCCCGGATTCACAGTTTCCACAGTTGTACAATGATCTTGGGTTATTCCCAGCTCTGAAATTATCCAATTCCCGTATAATAGCAATGTTTCTTTCAACCATGGGAGAATCACCAAGCAGCACCGGTGAAGGCTAAAGGAAATTGAACCAAGTAATGTCTTATACTAAAACTGTAGCACAGACCATGTCTTTCTCCTCAGCAGTCT